CTAGTCCACCCGCAAAATATTTGGACGTAAATCAGCGGTAGTCTAATGGTGCCTAGAAAGAGTACATCGAAATGATACATGATCGCAGGTACCTAGAGCTGTACGGTACGAAGCGTCAGTTAAGAAATCGAGGAACTTGGCGAAAACGAAAGTTGAAATAGACCGTATTTCGGTATTTATCTGCTGTGGTGGTCTCCACGAAATGATGCAACGGCACTTGCTGTGTCAGGTCAAGAAAGTCTGCGCCAAACGTTCCTGACAGTAAACTGCACGACAGATCAGTTCAACAAAGCTCGGGGGAGGGGTTGAAACCTCTTAGAACTAGGCACCTATTCGAAGACTGAGTGCGAATAGGGTCAATAATCACCCTGGAGGTATTTCCAGGAGTTCTGCATACCACTACAACTGGAAAATAAGTGGAGGATGTTCACCCAACGGCGGATAGGGCTTCAAAAGTCTGATATAACGATAGAAATGTGCAGGTCTTGGATAGGATGGATGGATAGGCGGCATCCATATCCGGATTTGCCTCACTGTGACGTCCACCGGGACAGTCACAGGACGCCTGCGTCTACAGGGGGGCTATGGGTGGCTTGCACTGCACCACCCACACACACCATATTCGGTATAAACCCAAAGATTAAGGTCGGGAGGCATGTGGATGGGAGTCAGGCGTCATCAACGGAGACGGCCCACTCCTTCAACAAACAGAAAAGAAGCATTCCGGCCTAATTGAGAAATCATGCGTACTAGCCGTACACAAGGCGGTAGCTGAGCGGCAGCCCGTTCCACAGAGAATGCATGGAAGCACTCTTTGAACCTAGCACCGTCACGTGGACGGTGCACCCCGTCCCCTCCAGCAACGACCAACTGTCTCCTAGAGTGAACATTTGTCAATCTGAGGCACTTGTGGCGTCGTCGCGACGTCTCATTCTCACTAAAGGGCCGAGTTTACAGCGCGTCAGTTCGCTCAGTATTGTTGTATGGGAGCGAGTCCTGGCCGATTCGCGTGGAAGACATGCGTCGTCTCTCTGACTTCGATAACGGTTGCTTAAGGAGGATCGCTCGTGTTCGGTGGCAACATCGAGTTACCAGTAATGACGTTCGACGTCGCGTCTTGGGGAATGCAAGTATTTCCTTCAACAAACTGGTTTTGTTGCGCCAGTTAAGATGGCTCGGTCATGTCCTACGCATGGCACCTGAGCGTCTACCGCGTCGCGCTCTATTCGCTCGTCAAGGACCTGGCTGGAAGCGACCGCGTGGTGGTCAGCCTTCCACGTGGCGGCAGCACATGAAATCGCTGACGTCGCGTCTAGCCGCTGTTGGACCCGTACGTCTTCCAGGATGGGGACCCAAAGATGAGGAGTGCCAATGGCTTAAGACTCTTGAAGTCATGGCCCGCAACCGGAATCAGTGGAAGAATTGTGTACAGAGTTGTGTTGATTCACACGTTCACAACATTGAAAGTGACAAAAAAGAGAAAAATCGGCGTGTGACAAACAAACTAAAAATGTTTTGTTCTGCATTTTTGTCAAAATATTCCATTTTCTTGCGACATATTAGCTGAAGTGTGTTGCCCACCTTCAACTAGCATGCCACGACGATTATGACGCAATGACTGTCTCTTATCCACTGATTTCCATGGCTTTGTTGGCTCTATGTCTAGTTACTAGACTGTTGAGATTACATACAGAGTGAACATGGACGAAGTGGAGGGTAGTAAACAGGTAGGCCCCTTATCAACATTCACATCAGGCGTAGCCACACCGAGGAGCTCAATAAGCATCTAACTCTTGAAGTGCATGAATACTCATCACGCAGGCAAGCGTACCACATCCGTCGCCTTATTGGCCTGAATTAGTGGGTCCAATGGGAGCGTAAGCATCGCGCTTCTGTTTCGCGTGCAATAGTGTCTTCTCCTTCACCTGGGCAACCGCCTTTTTGATCAGTCCACGGAATTCGCACTGATTAACTTTTCCTTTGACTTGAAACACCTGTAACCAACATTAGTTTGTCATTAACTCCCCTTCGTCATGTCCTGGTAATGTTATTTTCGGTTTGCCCCACTGATGCTTCCCTGCACAGTGAAGTTACAGTTCACATAAAGTACAACACGGCCTTGACGACCAACGGAGTGACCAGTTCCAAGCAATGCGTAACCAGGTAAGGACACTTTACCGTCCGTGATATCTGGGGGCAAAAAGTAGACCCAACTCATGCAGCTTATTGCTTACGCCACGCACATTGCTGGGCCTTATCCGAAGGAATTCACAATGACCGGCCATGAATCGTGCGCTACCAGAATTGGCACCGACAGGGCAGTAATGAACCGTCGACTGACCACTTGAAAACCCATCACCTGGATACCTTGTTCACCGGCCGCTCCCAAGCAAGATACCACTAACCGTATAGCCCAGACTAACCATGTGCCTTGCTTGTTAAGCTTGGGTACTATTTTGCTTGGGGTCTATTAATGCCCATATTCTGTATTAGGCAAGCCAACAACAAGCCATTCAACAACCTTGGATGTACATTCTGCGTTTCCATAACGCGGATGCACTGTAACAAATCACATGATGTTAATTGGGTGAGCGGCGCTACTGTCGTCAATTCATACGCACTGATCCCTGTTTAAAGACGGTAAGTGGATAACCTTATGGGTGAACGGTACAGCCAAAACCAGTCGGGGATTTAAGGACGATAAACATGACTGACAGAGCACAATTCACTATCGGAATGTGCAGATTTGAAGACAACTACGACAATCATTAAATATTTCGACAATACGTATGACGGGATCAGCACAAAGCACTAAAAGTAAACTGAGCTAAACCAGTCTATTTCAGATGAAGTGAAAAGACAGCATCAAACCCAGCTTCATAAAAACTGTCGAAGAGAATCCGAGTAGACTGCAAATGATACACCATTGGTATCGGTTAAGTGTCAGTTCCTGATGTCTCAAAACAAACAGCACTTGGCCTAGTGGTCCGAGTATTTTCCCTGCCGGATCAAGAACAGATCCCACCACACATAGCGCCACAATATGTCGAGTAAACAAGATAATGGTAGGCGTAGCACGTGTCCAGGCCTATGTAACGTACTCGTTCTTACCCGATCTAGTGAATATTAGTCGCCTATCCATTCGCTGGTGCCTACGAAATACTTATCTGTTGGCACATGTTTATCTGCTCTGCAAGAACCTAGTTATAAACAATGAGATAGAACGAAGCGAGTGACTGCTTTTGTGGGCATAACGACGCTCCAGCATATGTTGCGCTTGAGTCAAATATCTTCATGCTATTGGCCGACGGAATGAAGTGCCTGCCTTTTAACTCAAAGGCTACTGGTTCGAATCTACGTAAGCACGGGCGACCTCGCTGTCTATCCCGCAGAATACTGATGGTGGCCGCGTGGCAATGAAGCGTCGGTACCATGCACCGGCGTCCTTGTGATGCCTTTCCTATATTTTCCATTTAAATCCCGGATATATATTTCGTGGTGAGCGCTGGGGACAGAGAAATACAATAATTATGCATCTACCGGTACCTAATTAGTAGCCGAGGCTTCGCTACCGCGCAACCATCACAAGTCACACATGGGCTAAGGATACTGCGAAGGTCGCCCTGCCCCATACGTAGACTCGAACCCGCGCCGTCAGATTAGAAGACATGCTTGTTACCCTTAGGCTACGGAATTAGTATTCTACCGGTTAGTACAATTAATGAAATTATGGTAAGAAAGATAGCAAAGTGACAGACTACTTCTTATGAGCATAGCATTCGTTAGTGATTTGAAGGAGCCTGTGCGCGTGTCCCTAAAAGGAACGTTAATTTGCACGGAGTATCGTTTAGACAACTGTGGCGAAACCAGGGAAAAATCTGTCGCACAAAGCCTGTGCAGTTGTCGCTCACTTTGTTATGGGTGTTTTCGTTGTTCAATTCAGCTAAGTGCATCAGGAGATGCAACGCTCGTCGGACCATGCGAAGTATAACGCGGAGTGGTTGTCAGTCACGGAGAAACTCGAAGCAGTGAGTAATGTTGACGAAAACAGTGTGTAACATCCGGAGAACGTCGGTATGAAATCAATAAACGGCTGCACTACGATGGGCCACAATTATAGCCAAGCAATCGGCACCAAATGAAGTGACTGATGACAAGCGGCCATCGGTATTAGTGTGTGGGCGGAGTACTGCTGTATTTTGCAGGAAAAGATAGGTGGACGCCGGGTAACCGTTCGTATTAGGCAGTTCAACCGCCCAGCATGATGACCCCTACTTTGTTGGGTTTGATGTCAATGTTCTATGACCAAAATATACTCCCATCATCAGACATATCGGAGGAGCTGGTGAAAGAAAGATTAACTAGTTTTCACAAAGCAAACAATCCGCTTTACTGTGCATCCCAACATGTCTGCTGATTTTTTAACGGCCTGATTATGACAACAATAATCCAAGCAAGAATTCGTTTGGCGAAAAGACACGTTCACCATCGACTGATAATCCAGTGGAAGCGTGTAAATAGCATGAACGTTAATTAACAAAAAGCTAAATGTAAATGAAAGGGATGAATTGAGCAGATCGGCCGCAATACAGCCAAGGGACCGTGGAAAAGCCACGTATTCCTCAATTTGAGCAAGGCTTCGTGACTAAAAGACGTTGAAATCGTCCTTAAAGGTAATGATCAATAGAATCTGTTTGCGGGAGAATTGCAAGGAAGCGGTGGTAGCCGTCAAAATAAGACAACAGGACACCTGAATATCACGACCACCAGGTGCAAGGGAGAAATAAAAATGATAGGAAACCCTTACAAAGGAGTGCGCTAGAAAAGTAATATGGAAAAAAGTTGTATCAGAATATTCACAGCTGAGCGATGCATCACAGCGGTACAACATCAGATCCGTTAGCACGGTTAGAAAAATAAAAATTGACAAGTCGAATGAAAATAAACGTGAGTATCAAATTCTCTACCTGATCGTACTCATTGAGGCGAACAGTAAGTGATCACAGTATCTTGCAGCGCCGTTTACTTGACTTTCGTGATTCCAGCACGGCTCTAGTAGCAGTTTCAAAAACTTTCCGCACACCTTCTTTAGTTTTGGCTGAGCACTCTAAGTAGGCATAAGCACCAATCTTCCTGGCAACTGCCTCACCGGCTTCGTATGACACTGGCTGAAGACCCAATCGCTTTAGATCAGCACGAACAGACTCATCATTGCGCAAGTCTTTTTTGTTGCCAACTAAAATGATTGGAACCTTATTGCAGAAGTGCCGAACCTAAAGGAAGTAGAAGTTGGGATTTACGAATTACCTCTGGTACCCATTTATCAGTTACATTTTCCAGACTATCGGGATTATCAATGCTGAAACACACCAGAATAACATCCGTGTCTGGGTAAGACAATGGGCGTAATCGATCATAATCTTCCTGTCCGGCTGTGTCCCATAGTGCCAGTTCAACCTTACAAGAAAATGACTA